TGTAAAAATTGCGGCGGAATTAGCAATAGTATATTCTCTCGCAATTTGTTATTCTATTGCAACGGATCTTGCAACATATATATTCTTTTTTAAAATGCGTTGCAAAAATTTGCAACAAATTAGCCACAGATCTTTTCCATTACATTGCACTATGATAACAATATATTTTTGTAGTAAAATTCCGTAACAAAAAATTGCGATAGAAATGACTGTCACCAATTCTTTGCAACGGAAAATTTTAATTGTTACATTGGGTTACTACAATAATATTTACTACAACTTCCATTTGGTCGCAAATTCCGTTGTAATTGAAAATTATGACAGAAATTTTGTCAGTTGTGACGGAATTTTTCCGTAGTAATTTGTAATTTTTTTGTAGTGGGAAGTTATGGATTTTGAAAATTAAATCGAGACGTATTATCGGTCTAATAAAAAAACTCATCACGAACCTGATTTTCGTAAAATAATCATTTATATGGTCTTAATTTATAATTTTATAGTATTGTTACCGTATTTGTTATTTTCAATTTTTTATAATTTTCATTGTCTTATATCTTTCAACTTATTATTTTTTTTCTACTGACCATCTTATATTGTTGTTTCTCATTTCTATATCATTATATTGAAAATATATAGGTTTTTTATGTTATTGAAATTTTTAAAATTTAAAATACTTAATATTTAATTTCAGAATATCTAATTATAATTTATAAGATAATTTACAAATAAGAAATATATATATATATACATATATAACAAGACCAATTTTTTGGATTGACCCCAAATCTATCGGGATAGGGCCAATTATAGGTGTTACTCTCTAATTTTCAGGTCCGATGAAGAGCAGCGGCCCAACCCGGAGGATTAGCCCATCCAGCCCACGAAGAAGTCCAGTCCGACCGGCCCAATCCAAGATGAGTTGACGTGTCCAAGTGAGATCATGGAGGAGTGAAGAGAATGTAAAAATATTATCCAAAGCTAGTTGCGGGTTGTAGGAAGTTAAAAATAATGGAGAAGTGTGAAGGTGATAAGTAGAGAAAAAGTATAAATAGAAGAAAGATAAGAGGAAGGAGAAACGTCCAACATAAAAAATATACCTTGTGTACACTACCTAAAAAATATGATCTTTTTAAGAACTCTTATAAAACATATAATGATAAATGGTCAATCAATTAATTATTGGTGATGTGTATTTAAGAGGAGGATAGGTTGTATTGGTCATGTGTATTTAAGAGGAGGATAGGTTGTTGATGCTGGATAATCAAAATGTAAACTTGATTGTCCACGGAAAGAAAGAAAGAAAAAAAATGCCAAGGATGAGCAAATTGCTCCTGAACAAGTGATAAAGAAGGATTAAATGTGTTTCTTATGTAAAAAGAAAGGATACATTAATTAAAATTGCATAATTTTAATACCTGACTTCATAATAAATGTATTTTTTATTTATTTATTTTTATTTTTTTTTTGCCATGAATCCAATATGGTGAATATTCATCATGACACATGATGGATTGATCATGGTTTTAAAATCTTTGTTTCTAAAACCTTGCAGAATAAGGACAAACTAAGGAACCTAGTGGAACTGAACAAATAATCTATTCAGGAAGTAAATATATTCACCTACAGAGCCTATTACAACATGCTATTTGACTTTAAGTGACATTTTTATTTTGATTTAAAAAAGAAAATTTACCGTATTTATTCTTTTATAAGAACTTATTTTTATTTTGAGATTAGCATGTTTTGAATATTAACTTACTTTTGGACTTTAGTTTACGTTAGTTTATGTCTATAATATTACTAGTTTTGTCAAACTTTGTGATATTCTCTATTTAACTAATTTACAAAACAAACATAACCTATGACTCTATGCATGTTACTATTGAAATGATGTGTTATGGATTAAAGGTCTAAATGATATATTATGTTGTCCATCACGTAGCACATGAGTTGTGGAATTGAAGAACCCCAAGTTCCTTAAATTTGACTGCATGAGACTGATCGAATTTAATATTCTATTTCTGAAAATTATCACTGTAAAGTTGAACCCTCAAAGTCGAGTGATGGGTTGATTTTGACCGACACTTCTCTAGTTCAAATGGATTTTAAAGATCAATCAATAAATTTTCACAAGCTTCTATTTGATATCCATGCTACATTTGTATGAATTGGACTATAGTATAAAAATTGCAAGTGATACTAAAACATTTTTGCAAAATACAAATTCTAAGCATTATAATTTGGCTCAATACTATGAAAGATTAGATGGATCCTGTAGGATGGAATAAGGTCCCGAATCTCTTCAAGTTGCTAGCAACTTTGAGAGATATAATACAAGACTTGTTGTTAAAGGATTATTTCAGAAAAAGAAATTGACTATACCAAAATAATTTCTCTGGTATCTTAAAAAAAATTTACTTTATATAATTATGGTATTAGTACCTTAACTTAAATTTGAGATGCATGAAATAGATGTGAAAACAGTTATCCTCAGTGATGATTAACAAGATTTACCTTAAGTAAATAACTTGAATGATTTACCTTTAGTGATGGTGATTACGTAATTTATAATCCTAATAAATCTACAATATGCGGAAGCCTCCGATTAATTGCACTTGAAATTTTACGAAAAGGTCAGTGAGAGCTAGAGGTGGCAAAAATAGGCATGGCCCGTAAATTCGGTCCGAACTCAGCACAAAAAAATCATGCTTAGCATGGTTCGTCGTCGCGGATCGTTGTCGCGAATTGGTCTTTACCGTTCCAAATACGCCGCGGCGTATCGGCACGGCGTATCGGTCAATAAATTTTTTTATATAAAATGTTCTATTAAAAAATGATAATAAACTATTAAAATATATCAAAAATCATAAATATAATTAATTTTAAAAATATATGATATTAAAAAATATACTCCCTCCGTTCCATAATATTAATATTATATTGGGATGTAGTAGAAATAAAGTAGAAATGACTAAAATAACCCTATTAGTATTATGTGATATAAAAGTAATGACATTTGTGTAATATATTGTAAGTTGTAAGGGTATATTTTGTTGTGAGACAAACCAAAATAGAAAAATGTATACTTTGTTACGGAGGGAGGGAGTATTATAATTTAAAATCTTATCTAAAATTATTTCAAATAATATATTTATAATTAGTTATAAGTTATTATATAATATTGATTTTAATCAAATTAATGTGTATAAATTAAATACAATTCTAAACAGTTGAATCTATAAATTAAAATAACCTAATATTAAATCCAACTTACAAATTAAATTAATTAATTAATTGGACTTAAATAATTAATTGGGTATTTCCCAAATTTCTTCAAATCAATTCTTCCACGCATTCTTTTCTCCAACACTGCACCAATCTTCTTCCCCAACCCACCTTGTACGATCTTCTTCTCCAACTCTTTTTCCTTTTCCAACCCTCCTTATTCACACATGAAAGAATTGAAGAAATAGCGACAAATACACCTTAGAATGATATAAATGAAAATTTGAGTGATTTCAGAAAGATTTTGGAAAAAATCCGATATTTTTTTCTTACCGAACGGTCCTACCCTTGGGCTGAGTCGGACCGGACTCGCTGATCCAGCGAACTATGATGCTTAGGCCTCAAGAAATAGGTCTGAAATTTTTCGGGCCGTGTCTGGCCCAACACACCAATAAATTGGATCGTGCTTGGCCCAACCCGATTTTTTAAAATTAATATTTAATATATTTATATATATAATAATTTATAAAATAAAAATATAGACATAGTTTGATGGCAAAGTACTTAGTGTTGTTTATATTAGGTTGTAAGTTCAAATAAAAAAATAAAATGGATTGACCTGACACGGTCCGGTATTATATATCAATAAAGATTGAGAATAAATCAAATACAAATTAACTATATTTGTTTCTTATGTGGTGTGTGCTTAAAATTATTGATTCTATCTAGGACAATAAATTGTATATCAAAAACTTTGTTGCATTATGGTAAAAAGATAATATATTGAAATTAAGTATTTGACCATAAAATAATATTTTATAGAAAATAAAGTGATCATTGAACACATTAATACATAGTCGATAATTTGTGATCCTTGAATGAAGGCATGCCACTTTAGAATTTTAAGGATAGTGTAGGGTGAATGGAACTTGGTTCCCTAATGTGGTTTAATTTATGAATATTCGTCGGTTGATGAAATTCTTCTTCATTTTGATATTTTCTCGTATAATTGTGTAGACATCCATTTATCTTGAGAAAATTCAGTTAAGTTGTAATACATGAAAGATAATACTCATTTGATAGTGGAACTATCATATAATTTGTGTGTAAAGTTTATCTGATTTGACCAATGCAAAGAGACCTACATCTAGGATACCAACCCAAATTCATCCACAAAAATTCGAGCATTTTACGGATAAAATATAACCTCATCAACTCCATTCCAACGGTAAGAAAAACCAAAAGAAAACTAATCCAATAATTAATTAATATTGTGGCAAGACTTTCCTCAAAAGCACTTTCACAAAGCCTCAATCTCATATTCTTGATTTACTCTTTTGGATGTTTCAATGAAGCAAAATCCCACCAGCCCCCCGATGCAAACATTCTTCTAGTGAACTTGACCAAAACAACATAAAAAAGACTTGAATAAAAACCCAAACCACAAGAAAATAGACAATTCAATGGTGCCCTTAAAGTATTCCCTGTCAATGGAGCACAATAATTACAAGGCATAGTATGGGATGAAAATACCTTACTCGACCAACTTTGGTAATTGATTCGCAACAAAAATCTATATGGGTACCTAGTGTAACGCTTTGTCGTTGTCTTCAATGGAATTAAAGAAGATTGATTTCATGTAAAACTTTGATTGATACCAAGGTCTTTAAGGTCGTGAGTTCTAAATAGATTTAATTATTTTAAAACACTGGAATATTAGTTTCTAGAACCATAAATTTCATATTCTAATAATAAAAAAAAAGTAAAGATAATACAAGGTATGAATATTGTGCAACAAATATAACACATAAACAACTATAAAAATATGTCATAATAATAAAAGTTATATCAGGTAACATGGACATTCACATTGCCCCTAAAACATGCAACATATGGATAAACTATGAGCTCCATCCACCATCCACATATAATGAAAGCTCTAGTTATTAAAAAAAAAATGGTGAGTTGTTGAGCTGTTTGCCTGTTTTTTTATCAATCCAGATGGTTATTTGATTTAGAAATTCACTCGCCCACAATCATTTGCGTCTTACTATGCTTCTTGGTTGTCCTAGGCTTGTTGGCTGCACATTTTTATGGACGAAAAAATGTAAAAGTAATGGCCTGTGTGCTGTTTGTGTTAACCTGTAATAAGTTCTAGTCATATTGGTTATTAATTTGGGATCGAAGACTAACCTCTCTTGGCTGGCTCGCAATCCTGTGTGACAAATCACGTTAGTTTGTTGTAAATATATAAGTGGATGTATATATATAGCCATCTCTCACCATGTTTGAATACTAACCTAGAAGATTGAGATATCATCCATTTATCAACGATTTTTTTCCATTCACTGCATTGAAGAGAAATAACATTTCAAGCTATCAGAAATTATTCATATTTTTCCTCTAGAGCTATGGACCAAGAAAGAAACAAATTGATATTTATAAACATAGACTTCAAATTAGATCTAAATTCAAAAGTGAAAAATATATAATGAAGAGATAAAAATATGTTCAGTTTCGTATATTGATACAAAGATACGATCACAAATGGAGTAAATATTGTGCAAGAAACACAACATGTACTCAACTATGAAAGTAGATTATAAACAATTTTTAGCTAAATATCTACAATCTTGATTAAGTAGCACAAGATCAAGCTTTCAATGAAATTGGTGTAATAAAAGATTAAAGTGATTACTAAAATCCATACTCGATAATTGATTCAGAGAGTTTCCGAACTACCATTGTTTGATGCGGAGCTCGCAACCTACCAATGGTTAATCCAATCCCTGTATCCTAGAAATAGAAAATGAACTTGTTTAAAAGCATTTCAATCATGGAATGACGAAGCACATATCTATAAAAAGTAACATCAAACCTCTAGATTTTCCTTCGTCATTTTCATCTCATGAAGTTGCCTCAGTAATTCGACCATCTGCATGTCAGACTGTTGCAACCAAACAATTTATAATCAAAACCAAACTATATAACATTACGATGAAAACCATAATATATCAAACCAAATAGAAATCATCCACACAATGCTTAAAATTTAAACAAAAAAATTAAAGTTGTTGTATCCGAAATTTGGATAGTCTCTTCCTGGATGATCTAAAAAGTTGAGTGGAAAATGGATGCAGGGAATAAAATGGGACAAAATGAAAACTCGACAAGGAACACACATATAGAATAAATTAAAGTTAAATTAGAAGGCTAGGAACAAGAACAACATGCATAAATAATTAAGAAAGAGCATGCAAAATTGAACAAAATAGGATATAAACAAAGAAAATTATAGTGCGTCTGATCAAGGGGTTGTTCTTATGTGTAATATTTTCATCTATTAATCTATGTTTTATCCCTTGTTCAATGTTTTTAATTAATATTTTGAGTAACTCTTGACCAAGTAACCCCATTCATAGTGAGTATCTAATTCTTTCATTACATGTAACTCTAAGTAACCCCACTCTATAAATGAGTATCTAGTTCCTTCATTACATGTAATGTTTGTAACCCCATGGTCACTTTTCATCTCTCTCTCAATTCTTTTCTTTCTCATTCATTCTTAGTCATGAATGTGGGTTTTTTGCACACTCATCTTGGGCTAATATCATTTCTGCTTGGCCATCATCAACACATTTCTTCTTTGAGCCATGCCAATTCATTTCCCTTCATCTCCCATATTTCCAAGTCAAACACTCTCTTGTGTCGTCTTCTGAATAAGAATTTGAGCTCCTCACTTGCACAATATGATGATCCCTCTTCCTAAAGGTTACAACGCTTCAACTTGGATTGAAATTCACCATTTTCTCATATGCGTTTTTTGGTCTAACAAAAAGTCATAACATAAACTACTTAAGAACAAGACCACTATTTTATAGGTACTTAGAATATAAAAATAGTTTTAGAATAAATAAATTAGGCCACCTTTTCGTCACCGTTCTCGATAATAGCTTTTATCCTTGCAATTCTTTCGATCTTTGTCGCCTCAGGCTCCTCATCTTGCAACGCCTTGGCGTCATCTATACTAAGTCGACCCAACCGTAGTTCCTCCATCTGACAAATATTAAACAAAAGTTGTCGATAAAAATCAATACACAAACATATATACTATAGGAAGCAACTACATTGATTATGTAAATCAATTAATTTTTTTCTTTAATAAAAAGTAAAGTTCTACCAAACTGTTGAGTGAGAATCATCTCAAAAAACCTATCCAATTAAGAACCAACAAAGGAATATTAGTCTCTAAAATTGAGTATGTGAAGATTGAGATGAACGAATGAAAGAATGATGTTCGAAAAGGGAAATAAAATATTAAATGTGGAGCTCTTAGATATTCCTCAAAACATAGAACCCAAGATCTTGAAAATTAAACTTGAACTAGTAAAAAAAAAAAAAAAAAAAAAAAAACCTAGAACATGAATGAAGAACAAGAAAATGAAGATTATAGTAAAATGAGAAAACAACTAATCCAACCAATAAAATCCTACTAAATGATAAAAAACAATACATAGGAAGACTTACCGGACAAGGAGATGGTTGCTAATTAAATCTTCGGGAAAGAAAAATCTTACCAAAAAGAAATCACACGGAGAAAGAAAGGACCGAGAGAGGGAGATAGAAAGAGAAAGGAAATTGCGACGATGAATGAAACAACTTATCAAAACCTACCTGGGATTGAACTTGCCAGTTCGGTTTATCAAAACATCGAAGCAGAATTGAAATTGTTTTTACCTTAAAATTCCTTCATAACACATCAAAGAGTTTACAACAAAGACCAGACATTTTATAAACTTATAACGTGGGCTAATCTAGAAATCTAAGACTCTAGCCCAATGACAAAATCAACCATGATGAAGGAAGGGACCGACCCAGCCAACAACCATAACAACAACAACCACAACCACAACAACAACAACCACAACAACAACAACAACAAAAACCACAACAACAACAACAACAACAACAAAAACCACAACAACAACAACAACAACCACAACAACAAAAACCACAACAACAACAACCGCACCAACCACAACAACAACAACAACAACCACAATAACAACAACAACAACAACAACAACCACAACAACCACAACAACAACAACAACAACCACAACCACAACAACAACAACAACAACAACCACAACAACAACAACAACAACCACAATAACAACAACTACAACAACAACAACAACTACAACAACCACAATAACAACAATCACAACAACCACAACAACAACAACAACAACCACAATAACAACAACAACAACAACCACAACAACAACAACAACAACCACAACAACCACAACAACAACAACAACAACCACAATAACAACAACAACAACAACCACAACAACAACAACAACAACCACAACAACAAAAACCAAACACCAACCACAACAACCACAACAACAACAACAACAACAACCACTAACAACAACAACAACAACAACAACAACCACAACAACCACAACAACAACAACAACAACCACAACCACAACAACAACAACAACAACTACAACAACCACAACAACAACAATCACAACAACCACAACAACAACAACAACAACCACAATAACAACAACAACAACAACCACAACAACAACAACAACAACAACCACAACAACAAAAACCACAACAACAACAACTACAACAACCACAACAACAACAACAACAACCACAACAACAACAACAACAACCACAACAACAACCACAACAACAACAACAATAACAACAACCACAGCAACAACTACAACAACCACAATAACAACAACCACAACAACCACAATAACAATAACCACAATAACAACAACCACAACAATCACAACAACGACAATATTTTTTTTTCTTTTTTTTTTGGTAAAAATTAAAAATTTTGAAAAGAGTAGACAATGCAATGGGTGAAAAAAAAAATGAAAGAAAGAAAAATTAGTAGACAATGTAAGGATGCATTTTTTTAAAATATTTAGAGTAAAAAGTTATATTTTTTATTTATATTATATATAATTAAAAATATTATATATTAATATAAATTTAAATAAAAATATTAACAAAATTTATTTGTTTAAATTTTGATCGGAACATTTTTATATGTGAAGTATAAAAAATAGTATCGATAATATTACAATAATATTTTATATTATAATTTGTATAAAAAAAAGTAGGGCAAACAAACAATAAATATAAATTTAGGGTGAGCAAAATAATAAATTTATCTTTTATATATATAAAAAAAAACCAAAATATATATATATATTTTTAGGGGCACTCAATGTTACAACATAATAAGACAATTCAAAATGCATTTTGTCCTAGATTTAATCATGTTTAAAAAAAAAAAAAAAAAAAAAAAAGAAAAAACGTTTTAGACACTACAAACAAAATAAAGATCAACAAATACCATAATATGAACAAAAAAATTACACGAGCAAAACATCCGGAACAATGTTTTTCTAATAAGAAAAAGTAACAAAAAGCAGAATATCATTGATTATTGTAAAAGAATTTTAAAAATGGATATGAATACCAAATCAAATAAAAACCAAACGTAAATCAACAAAAAATCTGAATGAAACTCCAATAACTACAACTACATACATATGTATGTGCTTGTGCAGAATGAATAAGAACAACTAAAAAAATAAAATTAATTGATTGATTGATTAAGACAATCAAAAGGCTTCCAATAATATTTCTCACAAAATAACTATTATCTGTCTAATTAAAAAACATACCCATTTAAAATAAAGTTAGTGTTCGTTGGCCTTTCAAATATCTTAAGTCCATAAATTGAAACACAAGTAGAGAAAAATAAGGTAGAAGAAAGATGAAACATTCTATCCAACCAAATCTAATTTGGTAACAACAACTAAAATTAAGAACAAATTCAACTCGATTTGAATTTTATCGACATAAAAAAATAATCATCAATCATAAGATCATCCTTATACTCTTCACCTCACAAAACACCAAATCAAAGTCTAATTACATTTATATAAAAAATAATAATAATAAACAAACAAACAAACAAATCATTAGCTAAAACACATACAATATAAAATCAGAAAATAAAATCACACATCTGCAACAACTCCGCACCAAAATTCTTCACCAAACGCAACACTGCAATCAACAAAAATGAGGAAACGCGACTACCCGCATTACTTACACGGAAAATTCCAGCAATATTAGTAAAGAAAATTCCACATATTAGGGATTTGATATGCAATAAATAGAAATACTTAAAAAAAAATAAAAGTATTGTGAACTTATACCCAAATCGATGGGCTTTTTGAATCAAACTTAAATAAAAATACAAATTAAATTAGATGAAACAAAATATTAATAAACTCAAATAATGACACCGACCTAAAATTGGAATTAAACCAAAATTTGCTAAAACACAATTAAACACACATCATTGGAATTGAGAAAGTGAAATCAAAACTAAAACAAGTAATTTGAAATCAATGAAAACAAACAAACAAAGCCTAAAATCGAATTGAGAAATCAATTCAACTCCCTTTGTGCTTTGATATATCTAGCCGATATCAACTTTCGATTCTTCTCGATTGACAAGACTTGAGAGACACAAATGTTTCAATCGACGCCAAGGCAAGGGGAAAGGAAAAACATTCACGGTGCCATGAATTGCAGGGGATTAAGGGAAAGAATCACTGATCCTCTAAACCCTTGGTTGATCTTTTCCGGACGGTAGACAACCGGCGCGATCAAGGAAGATACAGGGAAAGAAATAGAAGTTTGAGGACTCCAGACATTGGCCGACCGAACAGTGGTGTCGATTTTGTGATCTCCGTTAATTGCATGTTGGATTTTCCATGCCAATTTCGCGTGAAAGATAATGGATGATTTAAGTTGACGAAGAAGAAATTGGAATGAAGGAGTGAGAACGAAGTGAAATAAAAAATAGAAGAGTATAATGAAAGAAAATAATAATAGAAACTGATTCTAAATAAATTGAGATTTTTTTTAAAAAAAAAGTCAGTAATTTAAAAGAGTGCAATACGAAGAGATTCACCCATAAACATACAAAATATATTTGAAGTAATACAAACAATTTGTTTAATTTGGGTTTGGGTTTAAAATTTGTATCTAACATTTGACTTAAAAACTTATATTTTTATTTTATAAAAAAGTATATATATTTTTTTTATTAAAAATCATATTATTTACGACAACGATAAAGAATAAAATTAATTTAATACAAGTTAAAAAACCGTTGTCGTAAATTATATAAATTGTTGTTGCGAATTAGATATCAGCACAATACGTTACAAATGCGTGAGTGAGGTGCAATGTAGGGAGTTGCGAGGTTAGGATGGAAATAGGTCCTAGTAGATCTGAAATTCAACCAATTTATTTGAGTTAGATCTAATTATCCGGATATCGAATACGGATCAGGTATAATGTACCTTTTTTGGGTCAGATCTCGGGTCCAAAAGTAGACCCTACTCGATCCGAATTTGATTAATATATTAATAATATATAAATATATATATTTTAAAAACAATCGTTTCTTAATAATATAAATTACATTAATTACATATTTTTAGTTTAATTTATTCATTTAGTTATTATTTATTATAATAATTTGAATAAAATACATAAATTTTAATATATATCGGGTTCGAATTCAAGTTCGGATACAATTTTGAATTAAGTTTTAAGAATCATTTATAAAAAAATTCAAATCTATTATGTTTCTTCGGATATTGTTCAAATCGAGTTCATATATACTCGAATTCAGATATAATCGGGTCCAGTTGAATTTCAAATCCAACAAAGAGTATTGTGGTCGGACCTTGAGTCCAATTGGATCCGACCCAACCAATAGGGGTGGACACAGTTTAGTTATTTGCAAATATGCATATATTTGATATCCGAATTGAACCGAACAAATACCCGAAATCGCGAACCTTATCCGAACCAAAATTCAGTTAATAAAAAATGCTTGCAATATTTGCAAATAACTCGAACCGAACCGTAATTAATTTGCATTAAAATAATTAAAATTTTAATTAAATAGAAATATTTGCAAATATAATTATTAATATAAATTTCAAAATATAATAATATAAATATATTCGGTTCGGTTTGTTGGGTTTGGGTTCCTTCTATGTGTGGAGGCCCAACAATTCAAGTTAGCCCCAAAAGAATTGAGAGTCCACTTTTGCCAATTGTTGCCCTAGCCGTCATAGTTGGGAGAGAGATCATTTGGGTACAGGGTTTGAGAGAGACAAATGTTATCCACGCATACGAGAGAATCGGCAAGCAAGAGAGAATTTCTTCAACTCGGTTCCGATCAACGGTCTCGTCATCTTCGGATATTCCTTTTTGGTATCGTTGATTTCTCACTATTTGTTTGGATTCGGCTTTGAATCTTATTGGTTGGTGATTGGAATGGGTTGTTTGTAGTTGGGAGATCTCTTGTGATTGGGGTTAGATTTTTGTATTTGGGTATGGAGTTTGATAGCCCTTTTTTGGTTGTGGTTATCTTTGATTGTACGAATCTTTTTTGATATAATGGATTTTGCCTTGGGTCGGGTGATAGGCCTCGTGGTTTTTATCCTTCACTTTGAAGGAGTTTTCCACGTTAAAAGTTTTGGTGTCTCATATTGTTATTTCCATTGTTTATTGGTGGTTATCATTCATCTTCTTTTGGTAGAAAAATAATTGATTGAAGGCAAAGATTTTGGTGGAACAGTTTGAACACACTGCTTAGGTGTGACCACGCTTAAGGAGTACATCGAATCTGATTTTGGTTTGCATTTCGGCCTTCTTCCGGTATTCTCCCAATATAAAGTGGTATCAGAGCAAAGTTGTTTGGGAGGAACAAACTATCATGTTTGGAAATAGAAGATAATTGATCTTCTATATGTGAAGAAGTTACACGGGCCAGTATTTCTGCGGCGAAGCCTGATATTTATACTAGTAATGCAGATTGGGAATTGGAGCATCGACAAGTATGCGGTTTCATAAGGCAATGGGTAGAGGACAATGTTTTGAATCACACTGTGAATGAGACAAATGCCAAAACATTGTGGGACAAACTGGAAAGCTTATATGCTTGGAAGACTGGCAACAATAAATTGTTTATACTCAAGCAGGCTATGCGATTGAGTTATCATGAGAGCAAGTCCATTTCCGATCACATAAATGAGTTTTAAGGATGTTTCGATCAGCTATCAGGCATGGGAGTGAAGTTTGATGATGAGGTACTTGGTTTGTGGCTACTTAATACTCTTCCATATTCATGGGAAGGTTTCAGAGTCTCTTTGCCTAATTTTGCGCCCGATGGGATAGTCACTTTGGAGTTTATCAAAAGTGCCATTTTGAATGAAGAGGTGAGGAGGAGAAAGGTATTGTTTCAAGTTAAAAAAGGAGCAGAAAGGCAAGGACAACAAGTATGAGCAGAAAGATGATGATAGGAACAATGACCGTGTGAATACGACAATGCCGGAGGATCTCGTCATTGTGTATGAGGAAGAGGGAATTCATCTTACCCAAAATGAGACTAGTTGAGTTATGGGTAGTGGAGTTGCATTCTATGTGACTGCCAATAGAAATTTTTTCACATCATATACTCCGGGAGACTTTGGAGTCTTGAAGATGGGAAATGATAGTTTGGCGAAAGTAGTAGGCACAGGAACAATGTGTTTGGATACCAGTAGTGGATACACACTAATGTTGAAGGATGTGAGGCATGCTCCCGATGTTCCACTGAATCTAGTCTCCACTGGTAGGTTGGATGATTATGGATATTCCTGCCATTTCGGTGATGGAAAATGGAAGATTACCAAAGGTTCTATGGTAATTGCTCAGGGTAAGAAAAAGTCCACTTTATATTGGTTTCATTCTATTATTTATGCGAATGGTGTTAATGCAGTTCAGAATGGGAGTTCTTCGAGCTTATGGCATAAGAGATTGAGTCAAATTAGTGAGAAATGACTCAATACTTTGGTGAGAAAGAATCTACTCCCTGGTGTTAGACGTGCTTAGCTTGATAAGTGTTCACATTGCCTTGTGGGAAAGCAAAGATGGGTTTCTTTTGTTCATCACCCTCATACGAGGAAAAGAGATATTATTGAATTAATCCATTCGGATGTGTGCGGTCCTTTGAAGGTAAAGTCTTTCGAAGGTGCAGTTTATTTTGTTACCTTCATTGATGATCACTCAAGAAAATTATGGGTTCGAGTGTTGAAATCAAAAGATCAGGTTCTTGATGCTTTTGTTGAGTTTCATGTTTCTGTTGAGAGAGAAATAGGTAAGAAATTGAAGTGCATCAGGACCGATAATGGAGGTGAATATCGTGGACCGTTTGATGCTTATTGTCGAAAGCATGATATTCGACATCAGAAGATGCCTCCTAAAACTCTGCAACTAAATGGCTTGGCAGAAATAATGAATAGAACGTTGATGGAGAGAGTCAGATGCGTGCTTTCGGATGCTAAATTGCCTCAACATTTCTGGGGTGAGGCTTTATATGCAGTTGCTCGCATTATCAACCTGACTCCTACAATGGCTTTGCAGACAAATGTTCCTGACAGAATTTGGTACGAAAAAAGAGTATCTTATGATCACCTCAAAGTTTTCGGATGCAAGTGTATTGTTCATATGCATAAGGATGAACGATCCAAGTTGGATGCTAAGACTCGATAGTGCATCTTTATTGGCTATGGTGATGATGAATTTGGCTATAGGTGTTACGATCCTATTGAGAAAAAACTTGTCAAAAGCCGTGATGTTGTATTCATGGAGGATTAAACGATTGAGGACATTGAAACGAACCATAAGCCAAATGTTCAAAATAAATACTTAATTTATTTGGATCGAATTCTTACACCAAAATTGGGTGGTGATGAAAATCAGTCTGTCGGTGATGGTGTTGTTGATGATGTTGATGTTGGTCCGGATTTGGTGGATATGGCAGAATCTTCATTGAGAAGGTCTACGCGGGATAGACAACCCTCCACTAGGTATTCATATACGGAGTATGTGTTCTTGACTGAAAATTGAGAGCCTGAGGATTATGAAGAAGACGTTCAGAGTCCTGAAAAAGAAAATTAGATTGATGCTATGAAAGATGAAATGCAATCCCAACATGCTAATGACACGTATGAGTTAGTTGAGCTTCCAAGTGATAGAAGGGCCTTGAAAAATATGTGGATCTATAAAGTGAAACATGAAGAACACTCATCCTCTCCTCGATACAAAGCCAGACTTGTTGTGAAGGGCTTTAGTAAAAAAACATATTGTTGATTTTGAGAAGATTTTTTAACCGGTTGTCAAGATTACTTCTATTCGTGTTATCCTGGGTTTGGTTGTTTGTCTTGACTTAGAAGTGGAGCAAATGGATGTCAAGATGGCATTTCTTCACGGTGACCTCGAAGAATAAATTTATATGGAGCAGCCTAGAGGTTTTGTGGTGAAAAGGAAAGAGAACCATGTATGTCGATTGAAAAAGAGCTTGTATGGACTTAAACAGGCTCCGAGGCAGTGGTACAAGAAATTCGAATCTGTTATGATTCAACAAGGGTACAAGAAGACTGATGCCGACCCTTGTGTTTTCGTGCAGTGGTTCTCAGGTACTTATGTTATCATCTTACTTCTTTATGTAGATGATATGCTCATAGTAGGCTTTTCAGCCTCAAAAATACATAATCTGAAGAAAGAGTTGAGCAAGCATTTTTCGATGAAGGATTTGGGGCCAGCTAAAAGTATTCTTGGCATGTATATTTCTCGGAATAGGGAAGAGAAAAAGTTATGGTTATCCCAAGAAAAATATATCAAAAAAGTGTTGCAGCGGTTCAACATGGACGAGGCCAAAGCTACTTCTATCCCGTTTGCTGCTTCGTTTAAATTGAGTGTGAAGTAGTGTCCTTCTATTGAGAAAGAAAATGAAGATATGCAGCGGATTCCTTATGCCTCAGCAGTTGGAAGTTTGATGTAAGCCATGGTGTGTACTCGGCCGGACACAGCTCATGCAGTTGGTGTTGTCAGCCGATTCATATCGAATCCTGGCCAAGAGCATTGGAGTGCAGTGAAGTGGATTTTGAAATATCTTCGGGGAACTTTGAGTATGAGGTTGTGGTTTGGTATTGAAAAGCCGGAGCTTGTTGGTTATAGAGATTTTGATATGGCCGGAGATATTGATAATATGAAATTTGGATACTTGATAACTAATGCAGGGGGAGCTATTTCATGGCAATCCCGATTGTAGAAATGTGTTGCACTCTCTTCCATCGAGGCGGAGTTTATTGTGTTACCGAAGCTTGCAAGGAGTTATTATGGTTGAAAACTTTTGTGAGTGAAATTGGTTTCGCTCAACAAAAGTATATTTTGTATTGCGACAATCAAAATGTGATCCATCTTAGCAAGAATCCGACATTTCATGGGAGATCGAAACATATTGATACAAGGTCTCATTGGTTTCGAGAGGTTTTGGATTCTAAGTTGATTGAAGTTGATAAAATCCACACGGATGAAAATGGTGCGGATATATGCACCAAAAGTCTTCCAAGAGACAAGTTCAAGTTCTGCAAGATGGATGCAGGGTTGGTTGCCTCCTCCACATAGTCGAAAGGGGGAGAATTGTTGGGTTTGAGTTCCTTCTATGTGTTGAGGCCCAACAATTCAAGTTACCCCAAAAAGAATTGAGCGTCCACTTTTGCCAATTGTTGCCCTAGCCGTCATAATTGGGAGATGGATCATTTGGGTGCAAAGTTTGAGAGAGACAATCGTTATCCACGCATACGAGATAATCGGCAAGCAAGAGAGAATTTCTTCAACTCGGTTCCAATCAACTGTCTCGTCATCTTCAGATATTCCTTTTTGGTATCGTTGATTTCTCACTATTTGTTTGGATTCGGTTTTGAATCTTATTGGTTGGTGATTGGAATGGGTTGTTTGTAGTTGGGAGATCTCTTGTGATTAAAGTTCTATTCTTGTATTTGGGTGTGGAGTTTGATAGCCCTATCTTTGATTGTACGAACCTTTTTTGATATAGTGAATTTTGTCTTGGGTAGACTGATAGGCCTCGTGGTTTTTATCCTTCACTTTGAAGGAGTTTTTCTACGTCAAAAGTTTTGGTGTTTCATATTGTTATTTCCGTTGTTTATTGGTGGTTATCATTCATCTTCTTTTGGTAGAAAAATAATTAATTGAAGGCAAATGTTTCAATAGAACAGTTTAAATACACTGCTTAGGCGTGATCAGAGTACATCAAATCTGATTTTTATTTGCATTTTGGCTTTCTTCTCATATTCTCCCAACATGGTTAATCGAACAAAAAAATATATCAAAAACTGAAATCAAACCGAACCCAATAAATACTAAATATACAATATTTTTATTCTAACCAACATTCAGTTCCGTTGAACAGTTCGACAGCTCGATTCTAATTTTTTTTTGCCCATACAGACCAAACCCATTACCATCCGTGTGGCGTCCCCAACTTGTGACACGCCCGCCCGCGTGGCACGTCACATCCTCGCCGCCTCAGCCGCTGTCTTCACGACGTGGCGGTAATTCCATTCCCATTCTCATTCCCTAGTGGTCGGTCAGTCGTAGTCAGGTCGCCGTATGCCATGATTCTGCCGAGCGAGCGACACCCATTATCTGTCTCTCCCCCTCCGCTTGCTTGCTTAGTTGACTCTCTCTACCCTACCCTTCGTCAACCTCCTCCCAAAGGTACCATTTAATTGATTTATTTATTTAAATTACATCGATCTTTCTGTCTGCTATTCAATGTCAACGCTATCTATTATATGGAACTGAATTGAATACAATTAATTAATTAATCATTCATGGTAGGGCAAAGTTAAGCTTCGTTTGCCCCATGTGATGTGACCCATCTCTCGTCGGGCTCTGATTTTCGCTTTCACGGCCCTTTTTGGTATTTGATTTCTATTGTTTAAGAATGATTGAATAGAATAGAACCAGTGTTCATTTCGACCTCACGTTATTTGGGGTTTATTTGCTTGGCTTGGCTGTATGTAAGTTCCATTTTGTCTCAATTAATTGGAAATCATCAGCCATGCCCATGAATGATTTTGACTATTCTTTTTGGCCCCAGGTTTGTGGATTCTCTGTTTACGATACTCCTTAAGCATGTTACGTTGTTCACGTTTATGTTGTTGTTCTTAGTTGTAAAGCCTCTTGGTTTTATGCTGAGTTGAATTTGGTTGCAGATTTTCGTGATATTGTTTCTAGTTTCAGATTTTGTTGCATTTCTTTCGAATTTGCTGGACTGCGCCTTTAATCGGATTCTTGGAAAGGAATATGATAGAATATTAACATTTTTTTTTTCTTAAAGATGAGGAAAATGAATAGTTTTAGGTTAAAGAAGATTGCTTTTTTACCTTGTACAGGGTTGATGAATATGATGAAAAATAATACTTTTGCTCCGCCTTTCTCCTGCCAGATTGGACATTTTCTTTTTCATTCTATACCCATTTCCTCCACGGGCTTTATAAAAAATCCTTAAATAAATTTACATTTTTGTTACTTTGTTTATATCTCTTTTAAAGTGCCTTTACAAAGATGCATAGCCAAACAGGATGTTATCATGTGCTTCTCTTATAACTTTTGAGCCTAACAGAGTTGAACTTTTGCTTCATTTATATGTATTGTTGAGGCCAAACGTGCCTTGAATATGGCTGCATTGGGACTGACTGTCCATTATGAAAGAACTAACTTCCCGAATATTGAATTTGTGTATTTGATAGTAGAGCTGCTGTATCTGATTTATCAGAAATGTTCTAGTTGCCTCTGAATTATTTTGGTATCCAAAATCATAATTACATATATGCTATTCAATGCCATACATGTTAGAAATGGAAGAAACATCAGTAGTTCACAGAATGACCAACATTTTTTTATTAAGAAATCCTTTTTATTCTCATAGTTTGAGAACTATTCCCACTATGTATTCTTGTCTATATGTATCATATCACAGATTTGCGATCAAGCGCCGGATGCTCGTCTCTGTATTTTAATGTAACATGTTTCCTTTGTGTAACATATTATGTGATGCAGTCACTGACATTTTTTATTAATCTTCTTTTCTCAACACGGGTTGCAAAGATTTACATCGTGTTCCTTGCTATTGTTCCATTAAAGGCCATCTTTTGTGATTGTTTTGTATTTTTGATTTGGAAACAGAGGACTTATACCAGTATCAGTGACTGGTCTTCTCAGCTAGATGCCCCTTTTATAGAAATCAATAACCATAACCAACGGGTATTTCTTATCATCTAGTCTTTTTTATTTTTTATGTTTTTATGAATGTGCAATTGCCATGAATGATTATTATCTCCCATCAGATCATGACGACTTCTTGCTATTTTTGTCTTCTCTGAGATTCTTACCATTTTTAATATTTCGTTACTCACTCGTAACTTTGTGCATCAGAATAAGGCAGAATCAAAACTCATTATCTGTTGCGTTCTTCAGAGAGGAATGAGAGGAATGCCGGGCGGTGAATACATCTCAAGGTCCCATGGAGTTCAAGTGGTGAAGACACACACATATGATTGGCTAATGCTTATGCTGCTGGGGTTGATTCTAACTGTGCTTAATATTATCCATCCATTTAACCGATTTGTTGGAAAAGATATGATGTCAGATCTCAAGTATCCTCACAAAGCAAGCACTGTTCCATTTTGGTCAGTTCCAGTAAGTCAAAATTCTATATATACAGGCGTATTGAGTTAAGAGTTTTCTACTCAAGCTCAAATAGGTCACACTAACTTAACATATGTTGACTTACATGGAATGTTTTAGGTATATTCAGTTATGTTGCCAATGTTGGTATTTCTGTTATTCTATCTTCGACGACGAGACATATATGACCTTCATCATGCAATCTTGGGTATTTTTTACTACGGCGCTATATTTTTTGTTCATTTTGAACTCATTATTATACTCACACCAATAAAAACTGGATTGGAGCACATGCATTCTTACATAATGAATAAAGGTATTTGTTTGTTCGTGTAAGGGATTCTGTTTTCAGCACTCATAACAGCAGTCCTCACTGATGCCATAAAAGCTGCTGTGGGCCGTCCACGTCCTGATTTCTTTTGGCGATGCTTTCCTGATGGAGTAGATGTAAGTGATCCCCTGACTCAGTTCTTTACAGCACTCACTGTATCTTGAGAGCCCACATTTGTTTCAGATATAATTCGATTTGTTACTAAACTTCCACAGCATTCAGGTCTACGACCGATGGGGTAATGTGGTTTGCCATGGTGACAAGCATGTCATACGGCAAGGCCATAAAAGCTTTCCCAGTGGGCATACTTCATGTAATCACCATAACCTTAGAATCACCCGTCCCAATGTAATTTTTTCATGCAAATTTCTTAATGAATGTCCCTTTTACTTATCCCATTTTCTCCAATGTCACTTTTCAATTTAGGGTCATTTTCTGGCTTGGGTTTCCTATCATTGTACTTAGCCGGGAAGATAAAGGCATTTGACGGTAAGGGCCACATTGCAAAGCTCTGCGCAGTTTTGCTTCCTCTACTTTTTGCATGCCTTGTTGGGATTTCTCGCGTTGATGATTATCGGCACCACTGGCAGGATGTTTTTGCAGGAGGCCTCCTAGGTTTGTCTAATGCAGCTCATCGCAAAAAAAGTCCCTCCGATAATAATTTATTGAACTATCTTCCTTTGTCTAATGCGTGTTGTGTTTGCAGGTCTAGTTGTGGCTACCTTTTGTTATTTGCAGTTCTTTCCACCTCCTTATCATATTGATGGTATGTATGTATGTCTTTCCACGATTATAATGTCTTTTCCTCACAAAATTGTTTACCCCAGCTAAACCCGAAACACTGCCATATATGTGTTGGGTTTGCAAATGCAAACATAAATGAATTGTTGATTTTGGGTTATTTAAATGAGGAAAGTAGGATGTTGTTGACATTGGTTATTACAGATCAGGCAGGATGCTTTAATTAAATGAATAGGAGGAGGCAGCGACAAGATTTGAACTTTTCTGTTGAGATTTAGATCTAGTAAATGGATTCAAGTTTCTCTTATTCATTGATTTTATGATCACCATTGGAAAAAATTATGAGCAGACTGAATATTATTAATTTGTTGGGTGCTAATATATAGTTTGGGGTATGAATGCTCCCTCATACTCTTTCTGTTTGCTAATGCCAATGCAATTAATTTTGTGGAATGGTTAATGTAGTTTCTTCTTGGTTGCATTGTAGGATGGAGAACTTATGCTGCAGCAGCAACACATTTAGGAATAGGAATAGGAATAGGAATGGCGGAGGAGTTGCATCCCGGCCCTCGCAGTACTGTTGGGGGCTGCGAAGCTGAAGCTGCTGAGGTTGAAATCCAGCCAAGTGGAAGGAACAACAATTCAGAGTCAGATAGAGAAAAGGGAGTGTACTTGTCGTCGTCAGTTTCAGGCAATTCCAGCTTACCAGTTGATCTAGAATTTGGAAGATCTTGAGGTTTGAAGGTTGTTGGTTGGCATGGATGCATATGTACAGACATACATGCATGTTCAGGGAGGGATGGATACCAGTTTGTATGTTTATACCTTTTTTCTTCCCAAAGTAAAAGGGTGAAATTTCTGTAGGTAGTTTTTATTTTTATATATTTATTATTATTACAAATCTTTTTTATCGGAATGATCAAAAGTATATTAAAAGTATATTAATATTGAAAAAATAAATGTACAAAATCCCGGGCATACCCGGGAGATCAGGAGAGAGGACCTACTCACCTAACGTCAGGAATTAGCCTATACAATCAAGAACTAATGTTCGGATATTAAAAAAAAAAAACTAATGTTCGGATTAAAAAGAAAAAGAGACGGATCCGGTGTTGATAGGTGCACTTATGTTGATACAATATAATCTAATGATTGTAATTTAAACATGGTCTAATAATTTTTTAATTCAGATGAAAGGTTTAAGCATTCGTCTTCCCTTGTACTGATCTGTAAGCTTCCCTCCTTCGGTATTCTTTTTCGAATCACCTTTTTCAGCAAACTTGTTCACTCGTTCCTCGACCTTCTTTAATTCGTCTTCAACTTTGATTCTTCATCTTCAACTTCTTTAACCCACTGCGCCGTTTCAAATCAATGACACGGACGCGCTCGTGATTGTCAATTTCCTCATCACCGGTCGCTCCTAAATTTCGGTAAGTACTGTATGTTTAATCGCTCGTTAAATGTTTCTCTCATTCCACGCTACCCAACTTAAATCGTCGTTCTTGTTGTTGGAGAAGCCCTATTTTGAGTTTGCGGAGCCCTAGTTCGATTAATCCTAACTCGTCGAAAGCGATCAACAATGTCGAAGGCGTCCAGTTCAAAGGATTCTATCGTTCAACTACCACGTGTTCCCAGGAAAGTCGCTCACCTCAACGAATCTTTACAACAACCTTATCGTGAGCTGATTACAAGGTATATTCAATCTAGTCCTTTCAAATGATTATTCCATGTGAAACCAATGCCTATTCTTATGGCTCATATTATGCAATTACTGAGTTATTGAGATCCTGATAGCGAGTGCTTTCATCTATCTAATGGGAATAGATGGTATATTACGGATCGGGATGTTATTGTTGTGTATGGGCTGCCATATGGGAAAAATAAGGAATCTATTTCATTGTATGAGTTTGATTCTTGGTACAGTTTTGCCGATAGATTTTGGTTAGATATAAATTTATATCTAGAAATAAGAAATATATTGTCGAGCCTTTGTGAAAGAAGTTACTAGACAGTGGCAGGCTAATGAGTGATGTTAATTTTTTGAGAATATATGTCATCTACTGCATATGTGTCTTGTTGACGCCCATATCCAATTCGAAGATCAATCATTCGTATATTATAGTTCCTTGAGTCCAAGGAGTTGGCAAGTGAGTATAATTGAGTTGGTTTTTTGAGGGATAAGATTGTGGTGGGTTTGGACGCGATGTCCAAAAAATTCAAGAAAAGTTCACCGGTCATTGGAAGGTCATCCAGAGATATCCATTGTTTAATGGTAAATTAAAACATTGTAATCTTTTTGCTTACTTTTCTGTTTTATTGTTCTCTTTGTGTAATATGCTAGTTTTCTATTTTCAGCATATATTTTTTTGACAAATTCCATAATGAGAAAAAATGCGGGAGGCTTTTTTTTTCAAGTCATCTTACACGAAACTAACGTTGGAAGATGTTTCAAAGCTCTTCAGCCCTCAAAATTTTCGATCTTCAAAGGTTAGAATTAAACATGTAGCTTTGAATATTTTGAGTTGATGATTTGTTCAACCTGCTAACTGTTCCTTTACGATCTGTTAAGTAATACTTGTTGATATGCTGAATTAATATTTCTGAAATGCTGGATTTGATACATTGACTGATAAATAGGATGATGGTATAGATTTTGTTTGTTTTTTCCTGGTGACTATTCCACTATGATGCTGACTTAATACCTTGACTGATACATAGAAGAATGATTCTGAAAAATCATTACAATGGTACAAGAATGAGGTTTTACGGGTATCATGAATTCTTTGCAATTTAATGCAAGAATACAACAAGAAGTTTAAGGGTCATGAGGATGACATTATTGATGGAAGAAAAAGAGCAGAAGATGAAGATATTCATGAAAAAAATGTTGAGAAGGTGATTTTAATTATATGAGTTTATAATTTTGAGGTTGTTCTGTTATATATCAATTGTTTTTATTGAACAATTGCAATGTATATAAATCTTACTCCTAATTATTGCCATAGGAATTTTTTGAGCGTGATTTGCCATCGCGGGAGGAAGCTGTCTGTGAAGAACAAAATATTGAACAAGTATTTAAATTATATGCACATTGATCATTGTTAGATAACCATTATATCATTTATATTTTGAATTACTTAAAAACATATGCCTTGATCATTGTTATAGGAGCAAACTGAACATAAGGCGGCAGTGCAAACTAATGAAATAGATTGTGAATCTCCCAGAAAGAAACAAAAGTGCGATGAAGAAGTTTATATTGACTCAATGAGTCTTTTTTCACTTGGGTTAACATAAAAGTTTAAGAATGATGCCGGACATCCGAAGGAAGGTTCCCCAACTAACATTGCTCTGAGTATTTGCAAGGTATAACTAATTTTATTTGCTTTTTGGGTTTATTTATAATTTGTATATAGAAAATTTTTAAAAGACTGATGAATTTATTTGGCAAGAAATTGTGTTGTATGAATCAAATGAACGAGAAAACATTCAATGGCCAATGTCATCCAGTCTAAAATTACCATAGTGCATTGAGTCTTCTCTTCCCAAGCTTCAAACAAAAAAAATTTTAAGTTAATCCGGATCGAATGGCCTCGAACGTGTTGTGTTCTCCATATGAAAGATCCTCCAGCAGTTTTGATGAGTTTAAGTTGAGTGAGGAGAAAGAAAGGACTGTTAAAAGGGCATTTTATTTACAATACCCCTCAGCAGCCGATTTGGGAGATATCATTTTTTCGGATGGAATCACTGTGATATTCAAGCATGATATCCAGAGTCTACGACCCTCTTCTGATGTCGTAAGGAATGTGGTTGATGCGTTTGGTACCTTCCTAAACAGATCAGATTTCAGAAGAAGCAAACAAAAAGGTGTTTCAATGTCCAAATTTTGTGTCTCCTCCAACATGGTTGTAAATATATATTTATATGTGCTTAACCTCTGTATTGAAGATGATTATTAATTATATTTCAAATGCTAACACATGAAATATTTGATGCTTATGGTAGAAATAAATTGATGCTATGTTTCTTTTTATGCATGTAGTATATGGTGCGAGTTGAGATTGAGAATAATTTTGCCCATAAAACTGACAAGGAATTGGTCCAGGAATGGGATCGACAATTGAATCTGGAATATCTTGGTAATTATTGAATTGAATGCTTAAAGGCTGATAATGTGAGTATTTTTAATGTATATATGGCATGCTGATTTTACTTACTTGAGATGATGATTGATACATTGTGAAATGCTGAATGGGTTTTGTGTATCTTATTGCAGTACTTTTTTTTTCATACTATCCCTCCAACCACTGTGTGCTTTTCTTTGTGTCCATTCTTCGCAAGAATATTTACTATTTCAATAATTTAAATGTTGTTGATGGATGGACATCAGAATCAGTGGTTTTTGAACAACCTTTTGGTTATTTTTGACAGGCTACAAAGATATTATTTCCAGATCCACAGTGGGTTACCCATTATGCAGTCGAGTTGCCACCCCATATTATATAACCTGATATCCACAATTGTGGTACTTTCTCTATGTTCTATATGATAAATTGGCCCATTGACTTGACTGGGCAGGGTTGTGAACAAAATGGCAAGCGTGAATTTCTAGATAGATTATGAAGAAAGTATTTTGTATAAATCTTATGAGGAGAATCGTAGGATTGAGATTGTGAAAGAGAGGGCGAGGCATTTTTTTGGTGCTAAGGTTACACATGAACAAAATGAAGACACTGATGCTCAACTGAGGAAAGGTCATGTTAAGATGGGCGCAAGGAAAGTTGCTAGTAGGCAAGGTCGAGGGCGAGGACGAGGTCGTGGGCAAGGGAAAAAATGACTATGATGATTGTTGACTTAAATGAATTGAATTTGAATGGATTGTTGATATTGATCGGTGGATTGAATTTGAATGGATTGTTGGTATTGATCGATGGATTGAATTTTATAGGTGATTGGTATGTTGGTTGTGTAATTTGATAACAATTTTTTTTATTAACACGCATGTTGGTTGATAGAATAGCAGATGCTTACCGATATCTAGTAAAATGCTTGGCAGTGTTATATAAATGCTAGCTAGTTTGGGATGGTTGTAGCAAAATGCTGACAGATTGTAGGTGGAAATGCTTGATGATACTGATAAAATGTTGGATTCAGTAAATGTAAATTCATGTCCATCATTTTATGTTTTTGTTTATAGGTGATATATTTTGGTGGAAAACGTGTTTATAGTGTCCTTTTTGTGGCATTTTATGGACAATATTTATATTATTTGATAACAATAACATGCTAAAAACAATTGTAGAAAATGTTTATTCGTTTTTTTTTTTTTAGAAAATGTTTATTGGTATTCAACAAAATGCTTAGTCTTGTATATTTAAGTGCTTATTATCAATTATTCACAATGAATCATGTATGAACTGACAAAAAATCAATTCCCTTGCTTTTATCCAGCTGGTTATCTCTCTTATTCATCATTTGATGCTTATTTTGTCTCCCAGAGTTGCTGATTGACACCTTTGTTTTAATTCTTCCTTTTGGATTGTCTATTGGCTTCAATATTAAATGACCTGCAATGGTTGTATTTTGTACTCTCCCTGTAGCATGAAGAATCGATTAGTTTAATATTATATACATTTCATTAATATAAAATATATGCAAAACGTCACTGTTATTTTCATCTGTTGGCATTCCTCCATACAGATTTGGGTAGTTAACTGTGTTGAGAAGCAATTCATTAAATTTATCTAAGAATGAACTGTAATTCTTCGGCTCAGAAGCTATTAACTTTGCAGAATTCATGAACAAGTGGCAAAATGATTTGT